TATAAATTTAGGAAAAAAAGTGCGGATATTTGCCCCACCGTACCCTACCCATACAAACATGCCATATATTTCTATAGAAAATAAGATGTGAACCAAAACCAAAATTCATTTTTCACTAATTACACGTTTCTTTTTTTATTTCCATCGCAGGATTCAAATAATGCCGGCCAAAGACAGCAGGCCAGTAGCCAGGGTAAATCCAGTGCTAAGCAAGGCTATTCTCCATCATACTGGACCGCACAGAACTAAGATTCATCTAAACCTACACAACAAACACACACACACACATAATCGAGAAAAAAATGAAGTAAACAACAAAGTAAAAAATGAGAACAAGATAAACAAAAATTTGCAGAAAATCTTGAATTAATGAGAAAACATTTACTTGATATAGTTTTTTTTTTCGAAATTAAGCTAAAAAAAATTAATAAAAGAAAAATTTACATTGAGTATAATGATGAATGAGATGCAAAAGTTAATAAATAAACAACAAGAATTCAAGATATGAGCTGGACATTTTTTCACAGTAATTATAAATAACAGTTTAACCACAGTACACGAGAAGAAAAATGAAAAATGCTATTGATAATCTAAAAAATAAATAAACAAGAAAAAAAAATTAAATAAAAAAAAAACAATTAATTGAATAAGGTTTAAGTGTGGAAAAGTACATATATGAAAAAGAAAAAAATTATATTATAATAAAAATTATATTATAATAAAAATTGAATTATGAAATTTATTAACAAAAAAAAAACCAACAACAACAACATGATGCAAAATAAAATTGAACAGAAAATGAAATTTAAACAAATAGAATAAAACTACAACCGACAACCTGTTTTGAATATGAGCACATATTGTATGGAGATAGCATACACACCAAAGGGGAGAGACGCCTTTGAATTTGTTTATTTGTCCCCGCGCTGCCCTATTCTCGAAATGATTCGGGCCCACGGCGATGGTCGTCGAAGTTGAACGAGATATATTGGCCACAGCTAAATACACAGAGACACACAGCCACATCCATACACAGAGAGGTACAGAAACAAAGCCGGGATGTTTTATGGCAAACATTACTTATTCGAGAAATGTGTTTTGTTTTTTTTATTATTTCGGTTTCATTTCAAACTTATGTTTTGGATCCCAATTCTGTATATTTCGATAAGTGAAAGTGACAAAATCTAGACAAATTTAATAAAAGAATTTTCTTTTTCTTTTTTTCATAACAACAATTAAATCGAACAAAGAGAAGAAAACAAGAATAAATAGAAACTTGAATTTGCATTTTATTATCCATTTAGTTCACCTTTTTTTTACTCTTCTCAAATTGGTCCATTGATGAGATTGTTATTTGATTTTTTATAGCACAACATAAAATTGTAGAGTTATTCGATTTTTGTGTGTTCATTTTGACCTCATAAAACCCCACCACACCGAGAGATGAGTTCGAGATGTACATGGAATGAATCCGGCGGTGAACTGCTCAGCACCGGCGATATTATACTATCCATTAAGGACGATTCGAATATAAACCAAATGAAAACAATTCGAGACAATTTAACCGATTTTTTTTAGCTAACACAGCAAACAATGAGAAAAATCAATACAATAAAAATGATGTCGAAAATGCATCTAAATCGTTTTTGCATTTTTGATGTATAATCTATTTAGGTGTGCGATTAAGACAATAGGCATAGCCTATGCACGATTTCCTTCCCCCCACGAAACAAACGAACGAACGAACAAAACCGAAAAAATACAATTGATAGTGCTACAATTTACGAGATAATTGTGTACTTCACATACATATATCCTAAACATTTATTAAAAAACAGGACGGAAAAAATGAAACAACAAATACAAAGCAGTAATAATGACAAGAATCAAATATTTCGATCGTAGAATAATTATAAAAAAATTTATTAAATATTTTAAGTCGCCTTTTTGTTCATATTGATGCATTTAACAATCCAATTTTGAAATGATACGATGTGTGAGTAGAAAGTCAATGAAAAGTTGGAAAAAATAAGAGGAGAACAGATCGACACATGTTAAACAGATTAAATGACGAACTCTGTTTTCTTCTCTCGTATGATAAGAATGATGCCTCACACGGCTAAGGTAATGTATATTGAGCAGCAATATAATCATCCATTGTCAACTGTTTGTCGTTGATTGATGTAAAATACGTTTGAAGAAATAAGAACTTGACAAATGCCTTGGAATTTGCGAGGATCAACAAATTGCTGTAACCCACCTTTTGTAAAAATCACTCATTTATAGCAATGCCTCCTATCGATGGATTCGGTATCTGTAATCGTACATAAGTCATCCTTTTCTATGGTATTTCCCAATCGCTACGTACGCTGCGATTGTGTGCGTGCGTGTGCAACTGTGTATAAGTCACATAACAAGCGAGAGCGAGTTCACCTTATGTTTGTGTGTGTGATATCATTGTGTTTGGTCATGGCATATTCTTTGCTGGTGTTACCTTTGTCGTCTTTGTTCATAATGGGATGTAATTGTCTTCGTTTTAAATTTTTTTATTATAATGTTTGTCAGATTTTGTGAGCTGGCTCTTCAATTGTGAATAATCTAATTGAATTTTCAAACATTTCTCAAAAATCAACATTTGAATTCAATAATTCAGAAATTTTTTACCAATAGATTTCATTTTACAAACAATCCGTAACTTCTTTTTAACTTACATTATTGCATCGGGTACACCGAAAATTCTTCTGTCAACCAAATCATCTGACAGCCCAATAGCGTCTTTAATATTACACTTGTTTTGTGTTAAAGTGGGAGAAAAAATATTTCAAGCGCACAAATTTTATTGAACAATGTCTTCGACTCCGTCCAATTCCGGGAGTGAAACCCTGGACACATCTTCAACCCAGCGAACTCCAAAGAAAAAGCAAGGAAATTTGCCAGCTTCAGGTGATTCGCCCATCTCAAATTCTTCATCTGACTTGAGCCGCAAAATTGCCGATTTTAATGGAGAAATCTTTGTTGAAATTGCGGAGTAAGTATGAACAAACGATTCGATTAGATTTATTTGATATCTTTGATATCTTTTAGCCCCGGAAAACAACCAAATTTGGACAAATTAATACGCTTCTTAAATGCGATGGATTCTACGGTTGGAACATTGGAAAAAATTCGGTAAAATTTGTATATTTTGAAATGCAAAATGTTCATTTTTCATTTTGATTTTTTTTTCAGTCTTTCGATTGAGAAGACGAAAGATTTAGGCGAAAAATTGGAGAATACGGAACCGATTGAGAACTTAGGCAGCATGACATGGACTCCAAGGAAAAATAAAACAAAAACATCTTCCAGTTCCGTCGCCATTTACGATCTCCTTGTTAGCGTTGGGTATTATTTTGGTGTCGCACGATACGAAGTCCTGTATGTCGTACAAAATCGTTCGATTCAATTCAACTGTCTCAAAAATATATATTTCTTTCAGTCGAGCTATCAAGGCAATTCATGGGCCGATTAGTCCAGCGAAAAGAGATAGATTGAATCGTTTGTCAACATTGACCATTCTCCATTTGAACGAAATGAACAACAAACGGTATGTTTCGACATGGAATTTTCGGTAGCAATGATACAATTTTTTTTATTTTTCTTTTGATAGAGGTGGCATTCTGGGGGCAATAGCAAAAATCAACCAAAATTACCAACCACGACCAAATTTACTCCTATCGGACTGTGAACATTGTCCCAATTGTATTCGACTATCGAAATCTGAAAATGAGCTTGTTGGATGGTATCGTACACATGGACCAAGAGGAGTGAAATATTTTTTGGACAAGCCTCCTTCCACATCCACATCTGGAGATAGCGCAAACACAAATCCAAATGCGAGCATGCATCAGCTGTTGGATATGCCGCCAGGAGGTCACAACGATCCAAATCACATCAACACACAACAACAAAACAGTTCCCAGTATTTGTCGTTTCCACATGGTACCCATGTCACGACACAGGTGGATCTGAACCAAATGCAATCTAGTGTCAGTAATTCAAGTGGTGTAACGAATGCACCATGTATGTCGGCATCGGAAGGAAACAACAGCTCAATGGATGATGTCAGGTAAAATGTCATTTCGATTGTTGTTTTTTTTTCGTTCGTTCTTTTTTTGTAAAGTGTTTTTGTTCCACAGTGATTCTTCGTTCGTTCAATCCAATGCATACAGCTCGGGTTATGGCGGATATTGATCAAACCCAAGCAAATGCTCATCAAAATAACCAGCGTATGCTGCAACGGGCGTCAGATCATACAACGATAAAAATAACAGCAGAAAATAAGACAAGTGAAAAAAAGGATAGTTTGATAATATCCTTTCTTGATCTTTCGTTTCATCCATTTAAATATACTCAGTCGACCATCTTTGTATAGTTGGGTTTGTGTCACTGTTCATAGAAATCATTATTCACATTATTCACATTTGACTTGACTGTGATGCGGGTGTTTTGAATTATTATTGCTAAATTACGAATTCCTGATCAAAACAAAAGACTTGCAAATAGAAAATATCAATTCCAATGTAAACATAATGACAATAAAATGTATAGTAGTAAATTTTGGCGTGAATAAAGAAAATATGTGTTAGGAAATATTTTTTTTGTTAATTTATTCAGTAGAAAATAGAATAATTGCAGTTGTGAATCGTGGCTTGCCAAAAAAGAAAAGAAATAAATGTTTCCGCTTGCGAATATGATAGTGAACATTTTCTTAAAAAATCTATGTACTGTGAAGAAGATTATTGAATGCGGCATAGGCAGTTTCGAGGTCGAACAACATTTGCCGAACTTGTGATTCGCTGAGCTCATCAGACGCTTGCATCGCGTTCAGTGTGTTAAGCCAGTTGGTAACCTTTTCCTTGCCTTCAAATCCAGATGGAATCAATGATAAGCGATTCATTGTGTCGACCAAGTCACGCAGTTCCGGATGCAATTCGTCCATGGCTTTGATTTCTAAACGCAATTTATCCATCAGCGTAATAAACAGCGACACAATATCGGCAATGCATTTGCTGGTATTGCCTTTGTCGTCTTTGATCGTAATCGGGCGATCTTCTTTGATGCGCTCCAATGAGAGTATTTGACGTGTGCGCCAGCGTATTTAAATAGGTGTAGTTGTTTAATGCGTATTTTCTTTTTTCTCGTATCTTTTTTTATTTCTACGCACTTTTATCTCGCGATGTTTATCAATCATCGTCACTGTTGTTGTTGTCGTCGTCGTCATCGTCCATACACAGCCTGCCGGATATTACGATATCAATTATCAGACACCCACCAGTCTTGGTGCTTCTGGCATACGTGATGGCAACTTGGGCTCCGTAGCTTATTCCACAATGTCCGATGGCCGATTCGCTCGAACCGATGATAATTCGAGTCCAGTCAGCAATGTTCCTAGTACAATGTCACAGCAAACTGGTTCCGGTGGTCCAATGCTAAATCTTCCGTATGCCTATTTCTATGTTGCAAACATGATGCCTGGAAGCTTTCAGTATGATACACCTGCACTATACCCGCAACAATTAGCCACGAATGCATCGTCGAATGCACAATTCGCCAAACCATCGTACAACAGTGCGTACGGTTCGTCTGGCTACGATGCGCTCGGTCAACCAACACAAGACTACAATAAGACTGCTTATCAAGGTAGCGGTACCCAGCAATCGAAGGGGCAAAATGTATCAAATCAGCCACCAAGTGGCACTGGAACAGACATTTCGTCATCGATGTACGGTAACAAAAACCATGCTGCTCTAAGCAAAGTCAATGTGAGTACAATGCATGAGTCACCGTTCATTTTGGGTTTTTTTCCCTTCAAATTGAACATTACACCTCTTAAATAATTCCTACCTCGACTTACCTCATCCCAACCCAAATTTCATACTCAACTAATGCCATATTTGTTGTTTGCTTCTAGTCTTACGAAAAAAGGTCGTTCCATAGTAATACACCTCCGCCGTTTGGACAAACCGCCGGAGCCACATCTCAATACGGTGCACAACAACTTTACATTCAAGCTATGCCAGCTGCTCTGCATAACATGAACATGCATCAACAAATTCATCACGTAAGCCATTGCCAATTCTAATGTACTCTCGATCTCGAAGAGAAACCATAATCTCTGTTATAACTCATAGCCATAAGATTCTCTCCGGTCTTTTAGTTTCATTCATAAATTAAATTCGTTTTTTTTGTTTTAATTTTTTTTTTTTTTTGATTTGAAATTATTATTTTGATTAATTGCTGATATTTCGAATTAATGAATATCACTGTGAAATCGAAATTCAAGTTAGAATCACAATGAACTGAATCTAGCACACACACACAAAGAAAAAACCATATAAGAGAACCGAGTATTCATCGAGATCAATTTTGTTGAGCAGAGTTGAAAATGCAAACAATGTTCGCGATTATTGATTTTTCCACAAAAAGATTTGTTGGAATAAGTGCAAAAGGGAGATCTCATACAGCATTATATGAATTTTTGTGAATGACAAACGTGTTAATTATGAGCATATTTTTTTTTGTGATGAAAATTATCAAATTGTAGCGTAGATCGTTTCGTCCATTGATCAGATTTTGACTTGTTCGAATTTTTGATTTTCTTTACCTGTGAACGAATTTATCTCATGTAGAGTAGCATTTTACTTTTTAACCACGTTTTTTCCTGTTCTTATGCATTTTTGCAAAATAATTGAAATTCCAATTTGCATGTGAATTAATGCTTAATCAAATATTACATTTTTTTTCGGACAATTTATTTCCAAACATCGATTTTAGTTTGTTAATTGGTGAAGGTGTTCATTATATTTCGTGGAAGAGAAACATTCTGACTTAAAGTTGTTGTAATATTTTTCGATCTTCGGAAATGCGTTTTTTTTATCAGTCAAAATGTACTATCATGAAGGATCAGGATTTCTTTGTCGCTATGCGCGTGTACAAGCACATATATTTACAAGACACGACGAATTTTCTATTTGTCTGCATCACTCTCGTTGGCTTGTGAGACAGGCTGTCGATGTTTTGATGCCAATTGAACAAAGAAAAATTTCGTGTTCGTGTCGTAGTCCCTTTTTCGTTTACTCTTCGTGATTTTAATTTTTCGATTCGATCACACATCTCACACCACCCGTTTTTTTGCCTATTAATTTTTCTTTTTTTTTCTCGTTACTTTAAGTTGCTAATTTCATTCAACCAAATCCCCTCTCCGGATATTTGATATATTTTCAAATGAGTAATCAAAACGTATTATTTTTACTTTTTTTTATTGTTTTTTTAGGATTATTTCTTTTAAAACGACAACTGATAAATTTATTCACTTAAAATTAATGCAATAGATTTAATTCCTCGAATTTTTCGACACACACACACGTACCTCTTTTGTTTCATTTTTGTTTTGTTTTTTCTCGAAGAAAAAGAGCATTAAAAATCAATAATTTATGAATGAAGAATACTAGCAAGCAGATAAAATCCAAAAATAAATTAAAAACAGAGAAGAAGAAACAAAAAATTGAATAAAATAATGTGTCGCAGACCAAGCAACGAAACGAAGCTACCAAATAAATCGGCGATGCGAAAGTGCCTCCGAAAACAGCCGTGTTCAGGCGTTTGCAAATATTGAAACTTGTTTAATGAAACCGAATGAGAAAGAAAACACACACAGAGTGAAACATTGAGATTGTAAATTTTGTCGGAAAATAAGTGTTTTTTTTTTGGGAAAACAAATAAGTACCTATCATTTATACCAAATCGGTGCATTTAAATGCATGAAGCAAAATCGCCGAAGATACAAAATGGACCGAAATAAAGGAATTCTGTAAAAAAAAAACAACGAAAAATTATCCGAAGAAAATCACACACACACACACAAATACACACAAGACACACATTGAATTCATTTCAGCTCAATCGAATATAGACGATATGTAATTTAAGCATTGCAAATTAATTTTACGTTTATAAAACGATAGACGAAAAAAAGCAAGTAACAAACGATGTTGTTGATCTTTGGGAGCTGAAGTAATACGTACATACCATATACACAGACAAACACACACATACTGAGACACAATTATAAACGACCAAATCAAAAGAAGAAAAAAAGAATTCAAATAAAAATGCTTTGCATTGAAAAGTAAATGAGAAAGCATTCGAGCCAATCAAGTGTAATGTTATTCACCCAAAGCAGGGATTTTCTTTTTTTGTTGTTTCTCTTAGTCGTTGTTGTTTCTATATTCGCCTGAAATGGTTCGTTTAGCGCGGGGACATTGAATTATATAAGCAAACTTAGTTTATTGTTTGAAATTGCCTATTGACAGTGCATGACACACATACAAACAATGGTAATCGAGATGGTTCTCTACTTGTTCTTAATCCGTTTTTTTATTTGATTTTTTTTCTGTATTTCGTATCTGGTCACATTATTTACTCTATTTCCTATTTAAATATTGTGCTTAAACCTATTTGATATGCAATAGTTAGCTGTAACTTGAAATTTAGACGTAGTGTTTTTTTTCCTTGCGACTGGTTACTACGCACTATCAATTTTTTGTTATTTAAAGCAAAACCAATTTACTCTTATCTATAGACCACTTAAATCTTTGTTTCTCTTTTTTTCAATTTTGTTCGTTTTGAATTTGCACCTAATGTTCACTTTTACCTCTGCTTAAGTAGGACGATGATTCTCTTCTTCTTCTTTTTTTGTTGTTGTTATTCAATAGAAATACGAAGAAAACTTACATAAATAAAATGTTTTTGAATGTACTGTCAACTGTTAAGCTTAAAGTGATTTAGAGCGAGAGTGGGAGAAAGAAATAGAAAAAATATTTAGAAACCGTTCGAAAAACAACCACATACAAGTTTCAAATTACGAATAAGGAAACCAAACAAAAACAAGCAAATCTAGAAATAATGTTTATGTTCAAATTCAGAATGAAAAATGTCATACAATTCAGAAGAACCGAACAAAAAAAAACTTTATTTTGCATGCAAATGTTTATTGTTTTTGGTTTACATTTTTTTTGTTCATCCTTAGATGGACGGCCGCGTCTATAACTCAACAAAAAGGGTAAGTTCTTTGGTTTTTTATTTTCTTTTTATTTTTGTTGGTTTTTCGTTAAATTTTCCGTTCATTATAATTTTATCATTTTTCCATGCATTTCCTTATTTTCGTGTATTTAGAAACTTTTTTGCATGATTTTTTCTTCCTTCTCACTAATTGTTATTATTGGAAAGAGCAACAGTTCATTGCTCTTACTTGTTCTTGAATGTTCTTCTTATATCCCGGAATTTAGACTGTTTCTCTCAATCCATATGTAGAATTTGTTCTTTTATTATTATTATCGAATCGTCTATCGTTCAGCGTTTCAAACACTATTGCTTTGCATATACTTTTCCCCCTCCCCATTAACCTGCTTTGCTAATTAATCACATTTAATTTAGGACATTAACACTTTTGTTCGACAAACACACCAAAACCAGTATTCTGTGTTTGAATAACATTACATCGTATTTTGCTGTATGTGTAGTTCTCATGAGTTTTCCTTGTGAAAATACGAACATGTAATGCAAATCATGACGTTTATCTCGTTCTTCGTAAACCTTTGTTCATGTCTAAATATACATGTAT